TAATTAGTGTAATAATAATCAACATCAACTTTTACAAATTTAAACCGAATTAAATTCTGTTTCAAATGTGAACGGTAGATGACGCTGTTCTTAATTATTTCAGATTTTAAAATTGAAATCTGAAAGCTTTGAAACATCAATCCGCATAAATGTAATTTAAAAACTACAGTAAGAGGCTTAAATAAAAAGCTGAACTTAACTCAGCCTTAATTAGAATTTTTTTCGGAATTCAGTAGTAAAGTTCAAGTTATTTTGATGAAAGCAAAACTGGAATATTCATAACATCTTAAACAATCACCTACGAATAAATATTATTTATTCAGTAGACAATCACAACGGTTTTATAGTTTTGGGAAGGGATTTTTTGTAACGCCATCTCATGAAGTATTTCGGTATTACATTAATATAAAATAATTAATAATTGGGAATTTAATTATTTTTATGATCGACCAATCACCAATAGTCGTCGAACAAACGATAATTGATCAAAATGAATTAATCTGAGCGATAAAAATAAAGATATCTAGTAAAGGGGGCCCACTTAACGGTGATCATTTATTTAATTAATTATAAATAAACAAAAGACGAACAAACAATTTTTACATTCGAGCATTAACGAACAAACGACGAACAAATAATTAAAAATAAAAAAAAAATCCGAAAATCAAAAAAAGGGAAGCCAAATTTACAGAGCCCACTGAGAAGATCCGGCGAGAAACTCAGCGGGCTGTCTATGGGTTAGTTCGTTCATGAAACTCTACGTCGTAATCGACGAGTTCGACGAGGACCGGTGCTTTATGAACCACACTTGAACACACTTGTGTTTATGAACGTTTGCTGTGTTGCCTTGGCAACGGCCATCTCTTTTCGACAGTTTTTGTAAAGTTGTCAAACTTATTTTCGACTAGTTACCATAGTTACCAGAGTTACCATAGTAGAGAAATATTTATGTACTATGGTAACTCTAAAAATGTTTTTTTTCCCCACCTATTCACTGAAGTATACTTTATAGGTCTCTCAAATATAATAAGTGTATAATCTATGTATAGGTCTATGCACTAGACTTGCGCAAAACATCACTTCTACAGACAGGTGATATTACTCGAAAACATTACACATCACTCTTAACATTACTCGGTGCGTTCAATAGATACTGTGACGAATACATTGTATCTATACGCCCGAATCGTTACCTAAGTGATGTGTTCATACTTTGTATTGTAATACACTGTTTATATTACTTGACAGAGATTGACTTACTTAATAATATAATAATTTTATTTTTTACTTAATATAATTTATTGCGGGATGAACGGATTTCATATGGCGACTTAGACTGCAAATTGAGCTCGACGATAATGTTAATATACGAGAGCAGTAGACGCATTGTTTCGGCGCGGTCTCCTCAAAATGTATCCAAAGAGGACTGTACTTTCATTTAGACGCCATTCTTTCTTTCACTTATTAAACACGCATTAAAACAAATAATAAAACTATCTTCAAACAAGTGCTTGAGGGAGTGCATATAGAGTCCCTTCTTTATTTCGCCTGGTCGTGTTTTATGTAATTAACACCACAGTTGGAAAAATATAAATTTTATTGTTGTAGCGGCATAAAGTAATTACATTAAATTAGTTATTTAACACATTGTAAATTATTTTTATGTTTTTCATATTTGGCGGTAAAAAGGTATCGTGTCACAGACCATATCCTTTTTCCCACATCTCGTGCGTTTCGGCTTACGCATAATAAAACGCCACACTACCCCCCTACGGAGAAGGAGAATCCGCAGAAAAAGAGAAAAATTATCCTATGATATCGACCTATCGACCTAGGACCTATCGACCTATGTCGAAAGGTTTGGAGAAGTGGACTCTGCGACCTGACCGGGTGGTATATTGAGGTGTATGTGTAGGAGTAGCAGTTAGAGGTGCCGAAGGCACGAGTGGACATGAAGGGACATTAGTAGCATCCGGTTGCGCTGGTTGAGGCACAGAAACCCGCGGTGCTGGTGCTGGTGCTGGAACGAGATCTACTAAAGAATGCTCGACGAAAGCTGGCTTAATTCTGTCGACACTGACCGTCACCTGTTTCCCTTTTACATCAATCGACCACGTTTTTCCGTCCTCGGCTCTAGATATAACTCTATGAGGACCAGAGTAAGGTGGTTGCATTGAACGTCTAACCGAATCCTCCCTGAGCATGACAT